AATAATTATATAAAAAAATGCGTAAAAAAAAGTTAGTGAAATGTGTGTATGCAATTTGGGTATGATTTATTTGATGAATGCGATATACAGAACTTTATTTTATCAGTTGAAATCTTAGCAATCGAATATAAAAATGAGAATGAGTTACAAAAGAAGCCAGAGCGGGTGCGTCTACTTGTATGCATATATATCATTCAATAAACCTAGGAAATTAGAGTTGATATCCTATTAGGTCTTTTTTGAGACGATTATTAAATGTATTTTAGGTTAAAATATTCAAAGTATCAAACAGTTTCGGTTTGAATATTTACTTTACTGGATTATTCAAATACGTTAAACATGTATTCGTCACCCAGTATTTTTAATCAAAATTAATCACCACAGAGTAACTGAAGGTTTCTCAATGACAATATACGCCGACTATATCTGTCTAGACGACAACCGGTGATAATTCTTTTAAAACTTTCAAATAACATAAGCTGAAATACGCTTAGTTGCATTATCAGTGAATTAAGCTTAGTTGTACACACTAATAGAGTATAATACTAAAAATTGTAATTATGATCTTATTGTATTGACATACATACATACAAATTGTTATATGCTACTGTTTCCTTGCTGCTTGACTAATGGTGAATATAGGATACAAAAAGAAAAATGAGTAGCTATCATCACGTTTTTTGTGTTGTTGGTAACCTGTCTTAACATTTTATCCGACCACTCCTTCATTCATATTCTACAGCATTCAAAACCATAGTCAAATTAATCATGTTGATAAAAATGAAATAAGAAAACAAACAAAACTTAACCCAAAAGAAAATTCAAAACGGAAACGTTTTTTAACAAATAGCGAAATCGAAAACTCAAGTACATAAAAACGAATGTATAACAAATGTCCTATTTTTGAATTGCTCACCTTTTTCTACAATAGCACTCACTTAAGATTATGAGTCATGATTCGTTTGTTTCTGATAGTACCAAATTGAATGTAACTTTAGCACAAGAAAATTTCAATTCACAAGATTCAATCCTAACATTTCCACGAGTTCAGTTCCATGACTTGAGCATGACCTGAGTATTTGTTTTTTTTCTCTCTGTTATATGATTATATTACCCCAAACCATTCCCTATTATATGAAATGGATGATGCATTATTCAGAAACTGAAGCGCAGAATTGTTCTACTCAACATATAGAGTCCTGTACCGCAGCATACTACAGTACATTAAGAGAGTCAGCGGGAGACAAGGAGGCAATATGCAGGTCAGATTGTGCTTTATAGACTTGTTTTGTTGTAGTGTTATCATATATTTTTGATTCAAGTCATACTTAAAGGTACACCAAGATTTGCTGATCAACTTTACAAGACACTAGTTAAAGATCGTTGATGTATTTTCGAAAAACTAATTTATCAGTAAAATTTGATATAATATAAACAGTCATAAAATGGTCAATTTTGTACCAACATAGTCAGTTAAAACATGTAAAACGATAAAAAAAAAACTACGAAATAGCTAATTTTGGTGACCTAGACAGGTGTTTAATCATTATATACATGTAGCAATGGTATTCTTTACCAAATCAAGCTATTTACGATACTATATTGAGGTGAGGGTAGGATTTTCTATCATCTCTACAAAGCCTTGCTGACACAATGTGACTGTGATGTCATTAATATCATGTTATAAACGAGATTCGATTTTTTTTTAAGTGCATCAACGTTTATTGTAAGGACATTTTTGCTAAATAAACATTAACCACGAGCGTCTCCCACACCCTCTATATTGTGTCTACGCATGTCCAAGTCAGATAATAATGTTTTTGCATAAATGCGCTATTTGCAACATATTTACTGTCATGTAGTTTTACTCATATTGAAATACACACAGTATATACATTCAATTTATTAATTGTGAAAACAATGTTTCTGTTGTATTGACTCTTACCTTTTCCCATGTAAAACAGTTGTGAACATTATGTTACATCTATAACAGAGACGGAAGATAAATTTGTACTAAAGCGATATTCAAAATTATGAATAGAGATATGAGAGTAAAAAAAAAAACGAAAGACGACAAAATGACAATCAACAGTGTACAAACACAACATAGAACATATAAATTACATATATTGTCATCAAACAAACTTTAAAAAATGAAGTGAGAGGATGTCTTCCATATAGCAAAACGTGAAGTTGAATCATAATGCTGGCACCTACATGTATTCGTTCTTTGTATGAAGTTTTTGAATTTGCTTTATATTTGCTGTATGAACTTACCTTGAAAATTTGAGCAAGTCGACAAAATCATGAGGAAAGTTAGTGTCCATGGAAATTTTGATATCATATTTAGTTTCTGTTGTATTTCATTTATTTATTTATTTTGAAAACAGTGTAGTAAATATCTATCTGGAATGTTTGCAAACAAATAATTCGGACTGCAGTTTAGAGGCAGGTCAGGCCATTGCCAATGCCAAAACGTCTCTACACCAGTACCATTGTTGTAAGTATATTAAATACTAATTATCCTTTGTTTTACATTAAATTGTTACTATTAGTGTGGAGTTTGTAGCGTAATCGTCAGACTACTTTCTAAAAGAGAGTCAAAAGATCCCATTGAGTCGGGAAAAAATTGACAACGCCATGGCTACAAAAGAAAACGACAAACCTTTGAAAATAGTGGAATTAATTACTTTTGGAGTGTCAAAAACTCGTTGGAAGTACTTGATAAATTGCATGCATATATTGGTGATTTTGAATCGGTTCAAAGTTTAGATTTTTCTACCCTATATACCACTTTGCCTCATATTTTCATTAAGAAAATATTCACACACCTAATTAAATGGGCATTTAAAAAGTCTGAATGCGAATACATATGTTCAAACTCTTTTAGGTCATTTTTTAGTAGCAACAAACAAAAGAACTATGTCAATTGGACATGCTTTGATAGATACTATATCTGCCCTTGAATTTTTACTTGATAACATTTTTGTTCGCTTTGGAGATTCCGTATATCGTCAAGTTATCGGAATTTCAATGGAGACTAACTGTGCACCACTTATTGCGGACCTGTTTTTGTATTGTTATGAGTTACAATTTATGACTAAAATCAGCAAAGACCCATCGAAACAACATCTGATACAAAAATTTAACAATAATTTTAGATATTTGGATGATATATTGGCTCTCAATAATGACGACTTCAGTATGTATACTAAAGAAATTTATCCTGTTGAACTTACTTTGAATAAAGCTAATACTAACAATGACCACTGTCCTTTCCTCGATCTTGATATCTATATCATTAATGGGAAGCTTTATACAAAAATTTATGATAAAAGAGATGATTTTTCATTAACTATCGTTAATTATCCATTTTTAGATGGTGACGTTCCCTTGTCACCATCTTATGGTGTTTATATATCTAAACTTGTACGATTCGCTCGTGTATGTAACAACGTATTAGATTTTAGCGAGAGAAATTTATGTATTACTGAAAAATTATTGCACCAGGGTTTTCGATATCATAAACTAGTCAAAACATTTACTAAATTTTATCATCGGTATAAGGACATCATTCGTAAATATAACTCAACATGCAGATATCTTATACGTTCGGGTATTTCACATCCAATCTTTTATGGTAATATTCTTTACAAAGCACAAAAATGTCAGTATTCACCTCAACAGCTAACAAAACCTTTAAACAGACTTATTAAGAAGGGATATAGTTACGATACTGTTGTCCTGTCATTAAAGATTGCATATTTTGGCTTTAATATTAATTCACTTATAGGGTCTTTGCATCGGAATTAAACATATTTATTCTAAAACCAGTTGTTGGCATGACACGGGTTATGTTCTTCTCATATATTTTATGACGGTATAATACAAAACCCCTAACAGGAGGGATTGTGCCTGAAATTCATATGATGAAGACATAATCTTTTAATCAGTTTAATTGAGGTCTGGAGCTGGCATGTCAGTAACTGCTAGTAGTCATTTGTTATTTATGTATTATTGTCATTTTGTTTATTTTCTTTTGTTTCCTATTCTGACATCGGACTCGGACTTCTCTTATACTGAGTTTTACTGTACGTACTGTTGTGCGTATGTTTTTTCTACATTGGCTAGAGGTATAGGGGGAGGGTTGAGATCTCAAAAAACATGTTTAACCCCGCCGCATTTTTGCGCCTGTCCCAAGTCAGGAGCCTCTGGCCTTTGTTAGTCTTGTATCATTTTTAATTTTAGTTTCCTGTGTATAATTTAGAGTTTAGTATGACGTCCATTATCACTGAACTAGTATACATATTTGTTTAGGGGCCAGCTGAAGGACGCCACTTTTACGTTATGAGGTTGTAAACCAATCAGCACAGTTTGTTGAATTTTGGAATCTACATATAGAATAATGACATTTTTCTGTTTATCGGCAATTTGTCATAGCTGTATTGTTTGTTGTTAAGAATATAAAGTAAAATAAAATAGTAAGTAAACTATTTCTGCCCGTACAAAACGTCAGGATAGCTGTACGGTTGCATGATTGAAGTCGAGTGCATTTTATTGATATATTGACGTAAGCACGCGACGTTTCATCATTGAAACATGACGTCATTGCCTAATATATTCGAGTTTTGTGGTGATATTCACCAAGTTGTCCATATTACCTAATTCTTCACATTTTTCCTTTTAAAAAACGAGTTTTTGACTTAAACTGATCGTTTGTTACTCTTTAATATGAGTTAGGTATGCATAGAATTTATTTTTTATATAAAACTTGTTCTTAAACCCAAAAGATTGAAACAAACATTTGTTTTTTTTCACTCGGTTATATAATCATATTACCTTTTATCATTTCTTATTATTTGAAATGTATAATGCATAATTCAGAAAATGAAGCGCAGAATTGTTCTACTAAACAAATCACGTCCTGTGCCACAGCATACGTCAATGTAATAAGAGAGTCACCACAAAACAAGGAGGCCATTTGCAGGTCAGATTGTAATTTTAGACTTGTTGTTTTATAGTTGTCCTCATCTATATCTGATCAAAGCCATGCAAAAAGATACACCATTTTTTTTATCATATTGACGGAACATGTTGTAAAAAATCGTTGATGTATTTACAAAAAAAAAAATGATCCTTAATATTTGGTACAATGTAATCATTCATAAATTCTGTCCCGATTTTGTAAGCAAAAATAGATAAGATGCCAACATGTCTGATCTGTGTACTGAGGCAGGTGTAATACTCTTTGATACATGGAAAATGCTTTGATGAACCCAAATAAACTATTGACGTTACTATAAGTTCAAAAATTTGTATTATCTGTACGTATGCTTTAAGAAATGAATACAACGGTTAAACTACGGTTAATGCAAAAGTGATGTAAAAATGGCAAAATTTATGACAAAACCATGGCAAAAATGAACGACGACAAAAAGACAAACAGCAGAATACTAAACATACATACATACATAACCAATTAATGGGATAATACGTTCAACATAGTCATCCAACTTTGAAATATTTAATGAGAGTACATCTTCTGTATATCGCACACTGAAGTAAAAGCATGATATAAACGTCTTTCATTTCTATGCTCCTGTATGAATTTGCCACACATAAAAAAATGAACAAGTCGACCAGAGGAAGAGCACAGTTAATTCCCATAGAAATTCTGATATAACATTTAGTTCCTATTCTTTAACATTTGTTTTTGTATTTTGAAGTGTGATAAATACCTATATGGAATGTTTGCAAACATATTCGTCTGACTGCAATTCAAATGCAGTTCATGAGGCCACTGCTTATGCAAACACGACTCTATACCAGTCTGGTTGTGGTAAGTACATTTAATTTTATCATCCTTTGCTATATATTAACAACCAATGTACCTTAAGGTAGATCAGGGGTATACCGCCATCTTGAATTGTACAATCACAGTAAATAATCTGTCTAGTTCTTTGCCCAAATCTGCAAATTTGGAGACAGATTTACAATTCATTGGTTACACTGTTTATTTATATAAAGAAAACTTAGTTATTCATTGCATTATCGAGAAAGCTTGACAAATACCAAATATTTGTGCTTTTAGAATTAATTTTTCAAATAAGCCATTTAAGGGGAGACAACTCTTTTAGTACAAAATTTATACTGGACATATAGGGAAATTTTCATTTTGTACTTGTAGCAAGAAAACAAGTTCGGTGACACCATTTTTTCTTTTTATTTTCTTAAAATATATTATAAAACATATCTTCTCATATTTTATTTCAAAATTCTGTCTCTTAGATTTCTTTGTATGCACAAAAATGTGTTTTTTCATGAACAATCTAAGCAAATTTTGGCAATTTTGAACGACTCGTACTTAAAAAAATAGCAAGGTAACCCATACTTTTTATCATTTTTTTGAAAAAAGCATAGTCAAATCTTCATTTTGGCAAAGTATAAGAAAATTCTGTCATTTTTTTTCTATTCCACTGAACTACCTTAACAGTTGTTTGTGCACGTATTGAATGAGTTCCACGTTGATATAGTGTATAAGTAGTCGCCTCTCCGTCTTTAATCCTTCAATAAAAACTACAAATCAAATACAAAAGCAATAATGAGAATGACATTCAAAGTAAGCCAAACGTCTCCTGCTATAGTTATTTTTTTTTTCTTTGATTTTCACAAAATAGACACTTTTTAAAAAGTAAACAACAACCTATTATGTCAGTTTGTTTTCTTCATACATCATTGTAAATATCATGAACTTTTATGCTACTTCCATACCAGTGAGAGGTTAAGCTTGCTATAGAAATAATGTTAATTAGGAGCCAGCTGAGAACCACCTCCTTGTACGGGATTTTCTCTCTGCGTTGAAGACATATTGTGGCCTTTGGCTGTTGTCTGCTATTTGGTCGGGTTGTTTTCTCTTTGACATATTCCCCATTTTTAGTCTCAGTTTATTAATCCATCATTTTCTACAAAATGTTTCTAACCAATGCAGGAGCCAAACGTCTTCTGCTATGGTTATATCATCCTCGAGACTTTGAAAATCACATTTAGAGTACAATTATTGAGTGTATTTTGGGATAAAACTACTGTAAACCAACTTATTTTCGCGGAGACTTTATTTCGCGTTTAGTCCTTTCTAGCCCAACTTGCGACGATTTAATTTCGCAATTTTCACATATACTTGATGTAATTAGACAAGGAAAGATCCAAGTTTTAAATTTTCGCGACGATTTATATTTGCGTTATTTTTCTTCTCGTGAAAGACGCGAAAATAGATCGCCCGCGAAAATTAGTTGGTTTTCAGTATTCAACATGTTCTAAGTATCTAACTGTTTAGGTTTGAACTGTTTATTTGTGTATTTCTCTGTCCTTAATGTTTTTGCATTTATTTGTACTGTAGTCCTGTCATGTAATGTTGTCCTTTTAGTGTTATGTTTAACATTGCCATAAATGCGCTCGGTTTGGCTAGCCACAAAATCAGCTTCAACCCATCAGTTTTTCTTACAATGTCCTGTACCAAATCAGGAAAATGGCAGTTGTTATCTTATAGTTCGTTTCTGTGTGTCTTGCATTGTCTTTTGTTTTTTGTTGCACGTCAGTGTTTCTGTTGTTTCGTTGTTTTCCTCTTATAGTTGATGTGTTTCCATAGGTTTAGTTTGTAACCTGGATTTGTTTTCTCTCAATCAATTTATGACTTTCGAACAGTGGTATACCTTTATTTGCCTATTTATTGACTACGTTAAATGTGTTGCTAATGCCTGAGACTATGCAACAGTAGATGTGGTATGATTGCCAATGGACAACTCTCCACAAGAGACCAAATGAAACAGAAAATAACAACTATTGGCCACTATACGCCTTCAATAATGAGCAAAGCCCATACCACATAGTAATGTTTTTTCCTTAAAAAATTATTTAGTGTATTTTAGGATAAAAATATTCAAATTATTTAACATCTTCAGTTTGACTATTTATTGACTGATTTTTTTTTTCGTTACGCCCGTCGACTTGGTTGTATTAAACATGACAGAGTCACGAAAGGTTTCTGATGAATTCCAATAGGTCTCCACCATTTTTCTACATAAGAAAATGCCTATACCAAGTCAGGAATATGACAGTTGTTGTCCATTCGTTTGACACATTTGATGTGTTTCAGCTTTTAATTTTGCCATTTGATTAAGTACTTTCCGTTTTTAATTGTCATCGGAGTTCAGTATTGTTGTGATTTTACTTTTTTTAGAGTATTTTCGAATAAAACTAGTCAAATCATATAACAATTTCGGTTTGCCTATTTATTGACTAATTTAAATGTGTGTGTAACGTCCATAGAATAGACTAAGCTGTATTCACAACTGATCTTAAACATTATGGAGTCACTAAAGGTTTCTTAAAACCAATATAAGACATTTTTTCTTAAAATGCTTTATAATACATCTTTGTATTGTATTGCCCCTCATGTTAATATTCACTAAGTTATCAATCTTAATTGATTTTCCACTTTTACGTTATGTAGTTGTCAATCAACAAAAACAGTTTGTTTAATTTTGAAATCTTCATATAGAATAATGACATGTTTCTGTTTACCGGCAATTTGTCATTGTTGTTAGGAATACGAAGTAATATAAAGTAGTAAGTAATCTTTTTTTACCTTTAAAAAACGTCAGGATAGTTGTACGGTTGTATGAATGAAGTAGAGTGTATTTTATTGATATATTGACGTAATCACGCGACGTTTCTTAACTGAAAAATGACGTCATTGCCTAATATTTTCGAGCATTAATCCCTGTCCATGATCTTAAAAATATTTGGCGGTAAGATCAAGGGAAAATGTACGCATTTTTGTATTTCATTGCCCTTCATGTTAATAAAATAAAAAAGTTTTGTTGTGATATTCACCAAGTTGTCCATATTACCAAATTCTCCACATTTTTTCTTTTAAAAAAACGAATTTGTGACTTAAACTGATCGTGTGTTACTCTTTAATGTGAGTTAGGTATGCATATGTTTTTTTATATAAAATTAGTTGTTAAACCAAAAGATTGGAACACACATTTGGTTTTGTTTTCACTCGGTTATTTGATTATATTACCTGTTATCATTCCTTATTATTTGAAATGTATATAATGCATACTTCAGAAAATGAAGCGCAGAATTGTTCTACTAAACAAATTGAGGCCTGTGCCACAGCCTACTTCAATGCATTAAGAGATTCACCACGAAACAAGGAGGCCATTTGCAGGTCAGATTGTACTTTTAGACTTGTTGTTTTATAGTTGTCCACATCTATATTTGATCGAAACCATGCAAAAAGATACTCCATTTTTTCTGATCATATTGACGGATAATGTTCATGATGTTGTTCAAAATCGGTGATATATTTTTTTTTTAAAATATCCGTTATATTTGGTATAATGTAATCATTCATAAAATAGTTAATTTTGTTCCGATTTAGTAAGTTAAAACAGATAAGCCGCCAACATGTCTGATTTGTGTACTGTCAAAACTATTAGATACATTGAAAATGCTTTGATGAACCAAAATTAACTATTGACGTTACTATAAGTTCAACAATTTGTATTATCTGTACGTATGCTTAAAGAAAGGAATACTACGGTTAAAACTACGGTTAATCCAAAAATGATGTAAAACAAATTTATAACTTCGATACTAGATGTATATCATTGAAAAGGACAAGGTAACATTTAGGGCTTATTTTGCCTTGTGGATTCCCATTACAAAAAAACATTGTTTGATGCCACTACTTATCACATCGTTTAAACACCACGAACAATGATTTTCAGAGTTTGTAAATACGAGATAATTAAACCTTGATAAAACAATTTGACTATGACGTCATGAATGTCATGTCATCAACGAGATTTAAAAATGTTTAAACGAAAACGATAGTTATTAAGACGTTTTTTTCTAAGGTAACATTGTATACGATGATATGGTATGAGTGCCAACGAGACCTCTCCATCCAAGTCACAATTGGTAAAAATGGAAACAATTATAGGTCAAAGTACGCTCTTCAACACGAACACGAAGCCTGTATGTACACAGTGCACTTCCATATGAGTTCAGCGACATGACAATGCATTGAATTAGTAGCGATTTTATGCAAAATCATTATTATCTGACACCATTAAGACAACAGTAGCCAAAGATATGTTTCAGCAGTTGTGTTCAGTACCAAATAATCAATATTTAATTTTTTTAAATCAGAGATCGTGTGAAAAATATTTGAATTTTTGGAAAAAAAATGTTAGAAATTGTGTCTTGTCCTATGTTAAACAATTGAACATATTTAGTGCGATGCCATCCTCTGTATATTGGAACGTGATATAAAAAAATACTATCGTTTTTCGTTCTACAAAAGAAGTTTTTATTATATTTGCCTGATATATATATATATATATAAAAGGAATAAGTCGGCAAGAAGAGGAACACGGTTAATTGCGATGTTATTTATTGTATTTAACATTTGGTTCCTATTCTATCTCATTTTCTTAAATTTAAAAAAAACAGTGTATTGACTTTACATCTGGAGTGTTTGCAAACACATTTTTCTGAGTGCAATTTGGAAGCAGGTAAAGTGGCCATTGACGATGCCAGAATGTCTCTAACCTACCACGATTGTGGTACGTATATTAAATCTTTACAAATTTTTGCTATAAATTGAATCTATCGTACGTTCTTTATAAATAAGAACCTTGATTCAAAATCATGATTGCCAATAAAACGTTACCACGTTACAACCTGTGTACCTTTACAGTGTCCACCAGTATGCGTATTTGATGAGCCCCACGTTGAAATAATAATATTCATAAAATGTATTCACCATTCAAATATTTCAGGCTTAAGTACGATTAATTGTAATTTCAGTTAGTTAATGTTAGTTATACAAACATATAAAGTATAATACTAAAAATTGTACTAATGATATTATTTTATTAACATACATACATACGAATTGTTATGAGTTACCCTTTTCGTAATGTCGATTTATCAAGAGTATCAGAATACAAATAGAACAATGTGTAGCTATCATGTGTATATGTGTGTTGTTGGAAACCTGTGTTGTTAAAATATCTCCGTCAACTCTTTTAAATAAAATATCTATTCATCTTTTCAATAGAACTCGATTAATATTGTGAGTCATTATTTGTGTTTACTCATAGCACCAATGTATCTCTTATACGTTAACATCCCTATTCGTAAGATATAAATATTATATTTTGACGAGTTCAATTAGGATAAAGTAAAATTACAAAAATACTGAACTCCGAGGAAAATTCAAAACGGAAAGTTCCTAATCAAATGGCAAAATCAAATGATAAAACACATCAAACGAATGAACAACAACTGTTATATTCCTGACTTGGTACAGGCATTTTCAAATGTAGAAAATGGTGGATTGAACCTGGTTTTATAGCGCTAAACCTCTCACTTGTACGACAGTCGCATCAAACTCCATTATATTGACAAAGATACATGAACAAAATGTCACATGCATATTCAATTAAAGTGATCATTGGAATACTCCGTGTGGCTTCATGATTTAGTATTTTGTTCTTTTCAAAAATCCTATAGTCCAACTAGGTGAATAGGTGAATGGCTCTTTTAAAAAAACAAATTTATGACTAAAACTGATCGTATGCTACTCTGTAATGTAAAACCAAAAATTTCAAATGAGTTGTAAAACTACAATTTGGAAGAAATGATTGTTTTTTCTCGGTTATATGATGAATAATTCTTTAAATCTTTCCTCAATTTTTGAAATTGAAATTGCTTTATTCAGAAAATGAAACGCAGAATTGTTCTAATCAACATATAGAGTCATGTGCCGCAGCCTACTACAGTGCATTAACAGAGTCTGCGGGAGAAAAGGAGGCAATATGCAGGTCAGATAGTTGTTTATAGACTTATCGTGTTAAAGTGTTATCATATACTAGTACTTTTGATCCAAGCCATGCAAAAAGGTACATAACATTTTAATGATCACAATTGCAGAAAATATTGTGTAAATATCGTCAATATTTTTAAAATATATTTTATCCGTAAAATTTAGTATATTGTAAACATTCATAAAATGGTAAATTCTGTTCTAACTTTTGTCAGTTAAAATGGAAAAAGACGTCGAAATATCAGATTTTGTATACTCTTGCAATGGTAAATTCATTTGATTCATAGAATAATGCTATCCTGACCGAAAATAAAAAATAATTTGCAAAACTTTAAAGAGAAAAAGGTCAAGTGTTTTCATCATTGTTATTTTGCATAAAAAAACGGAATATAGAACATGTAACAGTTAAACGATTTATGAGTTTGAATGTCCCTTTGGTATCTTTCATTCCTCTTTTAAACGCAAGGAAATGCACAATTGATGTCAAGAAAAAATTAAGAAATTCGATACTAGATGTATTTCATTGAAAATACAAGCTTTATTTTAAGACTTTATTGGCCATGTGAATTCCCAATAAAATTAAACATTGTTTGATTCTACTTCTTATCACATTATGTTAGTACCAAACAAAAGGGTTTTCCGAGTATGAAAATATTAGCGAAGCCTTGGTGACAGACTTTGACTGTGACGTCATACATGTCATTTGATAAATGAGATTTTAAAGTTTTTAGGCGAATATACGCTACTTGTAAGGATATTTTTACTTATTTAACATAGACAACCAGCAGTGTATTTGGTACTAAACACTAGCAACCTACTGTTGAAATAAATCTTTGGCGACTGTTGTCTTCTTTATTGTGTCAAATAATCATGATTGTGCATAAAATCGTTACTAAGTAAATGTAATGTCATTTCTCTGAACTCATATAACATCTTTTTATATTTATATACAATCAATATTTAATTTTAAAAATCACAGATCTTGTGAAATGTATCTGATTTTTGGAAAAAAATTGCCAGAAATTTTGCCTTGTCCTATGTCAAACAATTGAACATGTATACAATATTAAAAGGTAAGACCGGCGATAGATACCAAAACGATATTCAGACTATATAAATCTATGACAAAACAATGGCAAAAATGAAAGACAACTAAAGACAAACAACAGATTACAAAACACCACAGAGAACATATAAATGGGATAGATGCGTTTAACATATAGTCATCAAACTAAGTGCAAAGACATCTTCTGTATATAGGAACGTGAAGTAAAATCATAATACTAGCGTTTTTTCGTTCTACATAAGAGTTTCTATTTTATTTGCTCATATGACAAAAAAAAAAAACAAGTCGGCAAGAGGAACACAGTTAATTGCCATGTTAAAATTTGTATTTTACATTTAGTTCCTATTCTATTTCATTTTCTTAAATTTAAAACACAGTGCAATGAATTTCCATCTGAAGTGTTTGCAAACACATTTTTCTGACTGCAATTTGGAAGCAGGTCAAGATGCCATTGACAATGCCAGAATGTCTCTAACCCACTACGATTGTAGTACGTATATTAAACTAAACTATCTTTTGCTATAAATTGAAATCTATCGTATAATTTAAACGAGAAACTTGATTCAAAAACATGTTTGCCGATAAAACGTTACCACTTTACAACCTGTGTACCTTTACTGTGTCCAGCAGTGTGCATATTTGATGAGCCCCACGTTGAAATAATGATATTTATAAAATGTATTCACCTTCCAAATATTTCAGGCTTAAATACATTTAGTTGTAATTTCAGTTAGTTAAGGTAAGTTATACAAACATATAAAGTATAATTTTAAAAATTGTACTGATGATATAATTGTATTGACATACATGCACACACATACACATTGTCAAGCACAGCTCTGATTCCTTGCCCTGATTTAACTATACTTTTTTGATATTATGATTTTTTTTATGACAAAAGATAGACGTGCTGTAGTATATTACTTTTTGTAAAAGTGTTTTTGTTTATTTGTAATAATTTTTGGATCTGTTATCTCGGACGTTTCCACCAGAAAAAAAGAATTGGAATATTTTTTTTTCTGTTTAGTGTTTCCTTTTTTCCCTAAAATTTACTTCCCTGTTCCCTCTCCACTACTTGCTATTTTATCTCATCTCTTGTTATTATCCCCTTGACCTTTTTTCCCCTTACTATTTTTAGTTCTAGTTCCAACTCTTTTATATCTTGGTGTACTGATGGCAAGTTATTCACCAAGGTTCGTTTTATCTAATAGTGTTATCGATATGTAAAAGTTGTTAAACAATGTATCGATTTTTTTACTTAAAACCACCTCTAACATCCATAGAAATTTAGCGAGTGCACCATTATCCTGATAATATAACAAAAAATGCGTTTTCGCCAGAGTAGAAATACAAAATATATACAAAAAGAAATCTGTGAATTTCAAAATTTGGTATTACAAAATGCAAATTTTAATCTTATTAAATTAGTGTTCCGTTTGTATGAACGAGAAAAAAACAAATTAAAAGACGTGTAAATCAAAATAATAAATATGAGGAAAAAGGTAACAAAAAAACCCCCCCCAAAGAACGGCAACATAGCATATAAACTAACACACATGCATGTACTTATATACTTTAAACACATACAAATGTATATACACAAAAGCACCCCGACATACCCATTTGTGTACATATATCTATATTGCAATATTACTGACCCCATCTTAACCGTACATGCAACTCTCCAAAGTCATTACTGCGGTAAAAACCATGCACAATGACGGTCAAATGGTGCGGGTACAATCGGATATTAAAAGAACGCCAAGCATGGTCGAGCGAATCATATTAAAAAATACACAAGGTAAACAATCCTGGTAGACACATTGTATCCGCAAACGGCCATCAGACAGAAAAAATCTCGGAATTCGTATACTTCCATTTAAGATCTCATGTAGGAAACCCGCCTTCTCACATTCAAGACACCACAGATCACCTTCGTAAGATGGAATCCATGAACCCTCTTCCCCCGGAAACTCTCCTTGTCATTTTAGATATCAACCCATTGTATACCAACATACCATGATGACAGATTACAATCGTGTAAGGAAATATGGGTCTTGCGCAACACTTAACAAGTACCTACCGAATATTCAGTCCAGCTGCTTACCTTGGTTCTGAAATGCAACAAATTCACCTCCAATGGTGAACATTACCTTTAGATAAACGAGACAGCAGCGCCAGGGAAAAAATTACACGGTCTAACGCCAATATTTTCATAGGCAAATAAGAAAAACAAATCATTTCAACAACGTTTTCTAAACATAACTAGTAATTTTTGGGGCCCTTTATAGCTTGCTGTTCGGTGTGAGCCAAGGCTCCGTGTTGAAGGCCGTACCTTGACCTATAATGGATTACTTTTATAAATTGTTACTGGGATGGAGAGTTGTCTCATTGGCACTCATACCACATCTTCCTATATCTAATAACAGCTGATTTGTTTTTTGAAGATGACCTATTAAAGTACAAACAGACGAGGCGAAGCGAAATAGTTCCGTTTATTATAACATACAATCCCGTCTTCACTAACCTTTCACGTTGATCCGTACCGATTGGCAGATTATTGCTAAAACAACCAAAATTATCCAGGATCTTTCACAATAGATGGGCAAACGATACCAGAGGGATAGTCAAACTCATAAATCGAAAATAAACTGACAAAAAAAATGAAAAAAGAAAAACAGACAAATAATAGTACACATGACACAACATAGAAAACTAAAGAATAAGCAACACGAACCCCACCAAAACTGGGGGTGATCTCAAGTCATAAACCTCATGTTATAGTTTTTCGTAGACCAGCAAGTCTGAATGACTTTTTTGTGAGAGCTGATGTCTCCTATAATAATAGCCCGACCTCCCCGTAAGGCAGGATTATATGAGTTTGTATGCTGATTGCACATTATTGCAAAATGTCCATGGTTGTACTACCACACTTGATTTCCCCTATTAGTCTTTGTTAAATATGAATTCTTCAAAAAAAGAACTGTGTTTCTTATGAAGAAATATTAGTCATGAGTAACATTTAAGCCTGTTCAGTACTATAGACAAAATTTCACATGATCTTTCATTGCATATAAGAAAATAACCATCAATCAAAGTTAACCAATCAAATTTTCACCTATTTTGTCCTGTGACCAAGCTTTGGTACATTTGTAACAATGTAACCTTAAGTTTCCAAAATTCAAGGGAATATTTTTTCTCGACCCTTTCTCGTATGCAAATGGATGTGACCTACTATGATTTGATGGTATAACACCTAAACAAAACGCATGTCAATTTCTAGTGAAATGCATGTGAGTATGTTTATGCATGCATATGAGGTCTCTCTCTGACTGAATCATAATTCCATTTAGTGTCGACAGATACATAAGACATAAGTTCATTCATCGAAACTATATGATCTTGCAGAATACAGGAATAAGTTGTAAGAATACCGTATAGCGGGTTATTTTGCTGGGTGCAAAATTTCGCTTATTTTCGCGGAATGACTAAAATCGCCAAAAATACATTCCGCCAATATAAAAGTGTACGTTGAAAGGTAGTGATAAAAGTTCTGAATCCGCCAAAATAATAACCGCCAAAATATTTCGTGTACCTTATTCAATGAAAATAGTGAAATTTTACACCCGCGAAAATAACCCGCTATACGGTAACAGAATGAAGAAATTTATAAGCAAATGCATCATTTTACATGTACTTTAATTATTCCCAATGTATTGCCCGTTGGACTACTCTGTCTTATTTTTTGAAGTAGGTACCAGGCAATTATTAATTTTCATATGGTTCACTGTTGTCGTGTAGAACAATTAAGAAGTTACTTATATTCAAGGCAAAGCTATGATTTCCAAGTTGAAATATTGTATAAACATTCGCTCCTCCGCCTTCAATCCTTCTATGATAGCTATCAGTCGTTTTGACGATAAGATTGATATACTAGTATCATACCAACTGCTACCATACATTATATGTATGTTGTCGGAAAATATGAAATTTATTTGTATGAGCTTTAGAAACAGGACGAAAAGCGAGGCTCCGCCGAGCTTTTCTCCTGTTTCGTAGCGAGTACAAATAAATTTTATATTTTTCCACAATGTACATATATTGTGTTTATCCTGAAACTACTCCCAATACTTGAAATTTTAGTTGATAAAATCTCAATCTTAGTTTCTAGTTTCTCAACGAAATCGACAGAGTTGAAACGCGGATCGCGAAGAGGACCCCAAAATGAACTGGTTAGGAAACAGTAATATTCATATTCATATATTTATGTCAGTTCGAGGTATAGTGGTAAGACCGATGGCTGTAGTGCTGAAGGGCCCGAGTTCGATTCTCACTCGGGTGCTAAAGATTTCATTACAAATGTACATCAGAAGTGTGATTTTAACCCTCTCACACACACATCTCTGGTACCCAGACCGGAGTTTAAACTATAATGGGTACTATGGGGCCTCGGTTGGTCAAAGTTGCTCCCGACTTTGACCTTGAGATCAATTTGCTGATATCTGTTCGATTTGTCTGTTCCCGCCGGGCAGCCCGGTGGTTCTCTCCGAGTACTTCGGCTTCCTCCACCATTATAACAGACTCTGCCCGATGTCCTATCACTCCCTCGTGATCGGGTGGGGATTGTCGTTGTAAATATGAAAACATTGTAAATACGTTAGTGGCACATCTCCATTAATCCACATAAGGACTGTACATGGATTCCACTGTACCCTCGTAGCCTTCGAGGGGTGTTCTGTAAACGGAGGAATCTACGTACATATACATACATTACCGCTAGCTCAACATTGAAGTGGGGTAACAAGAGACTTTTTTGTACAACTACAAATAAAGCAAACATTTATTTGTGTACCTGTTATTTGTACAATAGTTGTCTAATTGCAGGATAAATTCAATATATCGTTATATTTGTTAAGTTGCATTTACATATTGTAACTTAAAATGACATCTATTTTGGTTGATCTAATCATTAACTGCATCATGTCATATCGTTGCAACTAAAATTGTTGATACAAAAATCTTTCTCCGTAAGTTCTAGCCAAAATACGCGATTGGACATTGCTCAGATGTACGGTCAATGATATTGAAAGTAAAGTTAATTCAATACTAAAATACAAGTTATTCATTTTGATAATTTTTTTCTAAAAATCACTGATTTGATCGGGTTGCAATTATTTATCGAGCGTCACTGATGCGTCATTTATGACGTACATGTAACGCGTGTTTGATGTACGTAATTTATAAACCTAGTGTATATGATGAGCTTTTATTTGCATATGATTTGGTACAAATCCAGAATATATACAAATTATCTCCTTTTCAGATATTAGTGACAAGCCGAATTCAACATCCTCTGAGAATTTGACATCTTCATTGTCAGCTGAAGGTAAAACAATATTGTACTTGAATATTCTACACAATATAATAGAGAATTCAGTAGTGAATCAACTTTAATCCGGAACGATCATATTGATCTTATCAGCTCTTTAAATACCGAACTCCAAAGAACATTCATAACGGAAAGTCCCTAACCAAATTGTAAAATCAAAAGCTGAAACACATCAAACGAATGTAAATAACTGTCATATTCATGACTCGGTACAGGCAATAGCTTGATGTACATGTACAAAAACGTTTTATAGCTAGCAACACTAATTTTCCGTTTTTTATAGCCAGAACGGTAATCTAGCGTAAAAAAAAATACACGTTTGTATCTTTGCAGGTTTTACGCTTATTTTTAAGTTGATGCACTTTCTTAGATTTAAATGTTGCCATACATGCAAAGTTCATTAAAACGGTTGTTTAGTTACAAATTGAATATTGTTTTTACATACTTTCATTATGAATTATTTGGAAAGTTGTTTGTTTCATTGCATTGAGAAGGGAGTTTTTGAAGAATATAAACCATAAAATGCAAGGTACCATCTTTTGTGTCTTCGAATTCTAAATTTCTCTATATGAAACGTTATCGACAATGTCTAGAACACACCCATTATTTGATTAATTCAGATGCGGAAATTGTTGAGTTGATCTTACACTAGAATATCATGAAATTGCATTTCAACCAATTTAATAATTGTATGTAAAACATTAACAAGAACATAAAACACCTGGAAAGGAAAATCTTCTAACCCTTTAAAATATGAAGTTTAACTGTGTTTTTTTTCTCGATTGATTTTGCAATATTTGCATTGTTAGCTTATTTATTCAACTGTTGTATGGTGCTTTATTTTTAATGGTAAATAAAAACAATCAATTACTATTTTGATTTTAATTGTTTAATGAATGCAATATTAACCATTTAAACAACTGGGGTTTATCATTGCTCAAATCGAAAACATCGATTCAAAAGATACAAAAAAAAGCAAACAAGAAGTGAAGATGGACTCCATATTGAGCCAGACTGTGTGCATCCACCGATTGAATGGTTCTTATTAAACATACACCACGCACGAAAGCTTGGAAATCCAAGTTCAAATCCGAATATGTTCTATATTTTAGAAAATGTATTCATGTATTTTTAGGATAAAACTTTTTAGAACTCCATCACATCTTTGGTTTTGATATTTATTATATAATTCAAATAAGGTAAACTCGTGTTCGTTACGCACACAGACTTAGTTGTTTTTACAATTGATATTAAACAACAAGAAATCACCACTGAATTATACTCAAACAGGTCCAATGGCGTTTTCCACCAGACACAACCAGCGATTGATTTCAATTATATGTATATCATATACGAATGATAATTGTTCCAACGATTACATACATCTATGATAATTTTTTAAATTTTGCAAATACCTTCAGTATAAATAAGAAGTAAATATTTTTATGAGAAAATTTTACTTTTGCATGTAGGAACCGTGTGGCTAGGGAGAAAAAAATACAAATAATCTTTCTCTGAAGCGAGAAATAATCCGGAATTTTTAATATATATAAAAAGAAACTTGTTTTCATTAATGCAAGATTAATGTGTATATTAAATGTGTGTACATCCCCATGACGAGGCTCCACATCTACTGTGTTTGTATTAAATTAGTGTTTTAAAGAGGACATATTAGGCATGCGGTTCTATGCTGTTTCAAATTTCTTTCTTTAAATTATAAGATAATTTTGTTTTTACCTTATTTAGAAGCGGAAGCGCGGAATTGTGCGACTCCTAGAATACAGTCGTGCGTCTCAGCATTAGAGAGTGCAATATCACAGGCAGGAGAAGACAAGGTGAAAAGATGCAGGTCAGATTTTGTTTTATATAGAACTTGATTTCTTCCTTATAGACTAAAACATCGCTCTATAGATAATATTCGTTTTAATCAACATATAACATATAACATATACTATGCTATGAAATAAAAATGGCGAATTGAGAACAACAGTTACATCTTCAATAACTGAAGGTAGCTATCGGCAAACAGATTTTGTTAGGGAATTAGAATTTTGACGCTGCTGTAGAAACTTAGGATTCACAAAATAGTATAACAATTGTACATGTTTAAAACATCAATAATCGAAATTTGTTTCTATGATATTTCATTGTTTTGTTTATTTTTCCAACAGTGCCGGATATATCTATCTGGAATGTGTGACTACAGTTGGAACTTACTGCAATTTGGATGTAGGTCAGGCCTTAATGGAAGTCAACAAGATGTTATCTCAGTAAGGCTGTGTTAATGACAGTGGTAAATATATGTAATCCTTATAATATTTGATATACATTAAAATGTTAACATTAATGTGTTACACTAACTAATATTATGCCTTAAACCCTGTACCAAATCTAACCACCTTTTTATAATTAGTAGTCTGTACTTCAATATTACGATTTGGTTATTTTCTCTGCTTGTAGAATATCAGTCAAAAAGGTTCCCATCTTTTTAGTAATCTGTATTTCAGTAGTACAATTTGATAGCTTCCCAAGCTCTAGAAATGTCAGTCCCTTATTATGTGTTTATCTTTCGACGTAGTCTGCACGTCCATCACAAAACTTGGTTGCTTCCCCAGCTCGTGGAATATCAGTCCCAACGGTTATCTTCTTTCTAGTTGTCAATACTTCATTAGTACTACTTTGTTGCTGTCAATGCTTGTGGATGTCAGTCACTAAGGTTAGTTTCTTTCCAGTTGTAAGTCATTCAATAGTACCATTGTGTCGCTTACTCTGCTAGCAGAAAGTCACTCATAATAAAATGTTAACATCTTTCTAGTAGTCAGTACTTCGGTAGTTCAACTCTATCGCTGTCACTTCTTGTGGAATTTCCGGTGCTTACTCTGTCCACAAAATGTCAGTGTAAAAAGATTACATGTATCACCTTTCAAGTTGCCAGTATTACAGTGGTACAACTGTGTCGCTTTTACTGTCAGCAGAATGTCAGTCTTATGAGTTATCATCTTTCTAGCGGACCTCTCCGTTGCTTCTCTTTTATCACATTTCAGACTATATGTACTTCAGTAAAACCTGTCCGCAGACTGCCAGTCTAAAATATTATCATATTTCTAGTACTTGAGGAAATGAACTGGATTACTTCCATTGCTCGTTGAATGATAGTGCAACTGTTATCATCTTTCTTGTGGTCATTACTTGAGTAGTACAACTGGGTTTATTCCATTGCTCCTGGAATTATAGTCTCAAGAAAATAATCTTTCTAGTAGTCAATACTTGAGTAGTACAACTTGGTCGCTTCTCAAACTCTTGGAATGATAGTGCCCAAGGTAATCAGTTCTGTTCTTTAGTAGAAAAACGGAGTACAGTCCTTTTGGTTATCATTGATGGTCGGTACCCAAGGAAAATAACTTGGAAGCTTATTCATTTTATCATAGTTTACGGGTAATACTTTCTACGTGATGCATACATAATTGTTAAACTGTGTCCATACATTTTCGGTTTATAAAATTGGCATGGTGTAAACAAAAATTTTTTTCACGAGGCATATATTTTATTTCAATTACACTTTGTTTTTCATCTCTTTATTTTGTTTCTTTTGGTTTTTATAACGTTCATGAAGTTATTCTGCATTCAATGTATAGCTGTTTAACATAATTTGTTTTCTTTCTTTTCAGGTAATGGTGCCGGAAGTATTATTTTCACATTTTTTGTGATGTGTTTTGGACTTACATTATATTAGCTTGTTTAGATGCCATATTGTAATACAATCTATATAAACAAACCTAAAGATACATGTATGCATGTTTATCCTAAATGGAGGTAAATTGTATGGCTTTCCAAATACCGTTTCGATTCCTAACATCACTGAAGAGACATTATTGTCGAAATCCGGATATGGTGTACAAAAACCTTTGCACCTTTTGTTTGCGGTATACCATCTTTTCCGCAAGTTTATTGTTTTCTGTTTAGTATTAAATTTATAATTAAGACCCATTTATTACATCGGTGATCCGTTTATTTGGCAATTGCCAATAGCAGTCAGCAGGGTTTAAGAACATTTGTTGTTCGACCTGTTAGGCAAATGCGTTTTGTTAAAATATACTTTTTCACTTTGTTGGTCTTTTGAAAAATGTTGTTTGTGCTGTATTTAGACCCCTCTAACAAGAAATTTGTTTTGCATGCACACGTATAAAAATTGCGGTTTTTATCCAACGCAATCATAGGTTTTAACGTTGTTTTCAATTTAGACTTGTTTATATTTTTTCGTTTGGGCTTTTATTATATTTGCCTTCGGGTTTATATGATCCGTGCATCCTATTTTGACTCCTCAAAATTCAAGAGTCTATCCTAAATTGAGTTAAATTGTATGGCTTTCCAAATACCGTTTCGATTCCTAACATCACTGAAGAGACATTAATTGTCGAAATCCGGATATGGTGCACAAAAACCTTTGCACCTTTTTTTGCGGTATACCATCTTTTCCGCAAGTTTATTGTTTCCAGTTTAGTATTTGATTTATAATTAAGATCCATTTATTACATCTGTGATCCGTTTATTTGGCAAGCGCCAATTGCAGTCAGCAGGGTTTAAGACCATTTGTTGTTCGACCTGTTAGTCAAATACGTTTTTTTAAAATATACTTTTTCCCTTTTTTAGTCTTTTGGAAAATGTTGTTTGTGCTGTATTTAGACCCCTCTAACAAAAAATCAGTTTTGCATGCACACGCATTAAAATTGCGGTTTTTATCCAACGCAATCATACTAGGTTAAAACGTTGTTTTCAATTTAGACTTGTTTATATTTTTTCGTTTGGGCTTGTATTATATTTGCCTTCGGGGTTATATGATCCGTTCGTCCTATTTGCAATAGACTCCTCAAAATTCAAGAGTCTATCCTAAATTGAGGTAAATTGTTTTCCTTTCCAAATACCGTTTGATTCCTAACATCACTGAAGAGAAATTAATTGTCGAAATCCGGATATGGTGTACAAAAACCTTTGCACTTTTTGTTTGCGGTATACCATCTTTTTCGCAAGTTTATTGTTTTCTGTTTAGTATTAAATTTATAATTAAGATCCATTTATTACATCGGTGATCCGTTTATTTGGCAATCGCCAATGGCAGTCAGCAGGGTTTAAGAACATTTGTTGTTCGACCTGTTAGTCAAATGCGTTTTGTTAAAATATACTTTTTCACTTTTTTTGGTCTTTTGGAAAATGTAGTTTGTGCTGTATTTAGACCCCTCTAACAAGAAATTTGTTTTGCATGCACACGTAAAATAATTGCGGTTTTTATCCAACGCAATCATAGGTTTGAACGTTGTTTTCAATTTAGACTTGTTTATATATATATACACATATACCGTAGGTTTGAACGTTGTTTTCAATTTAGATTTGTATATATATACACTGTATATATACAGTGAAGCCTGGGTGGCCGCGTGGTCTAGCGTGTCGGATACAGTGCAAGGCGATTTGGTGTCAAGATATCTCAGTAGCATTAGTTCGAATCCCGGCGAGGGAAGAACAAAAAATTTGATGTTTAGACGACGAATTATATATATACACTGTATATATAATTCGTCTAAATATCAATCCAACAATGTAAGTTTTTTGTGCTTTCCTCGCCGAGATTTAAATCATGATACTGAGATATCGTGGCACCAAATCGCTTTGCCTGTTACAAAACTTTGAATTTTTCGAAAAACTAAGGATTTTGTTATCCCAGGAATAGATTACCTTAGCCGTATTTGGCACAACATTTTGGAATTTTGGGTCCTCAATGCTCTTCAACTTTGTACTTGTTTGGCTTTATAACTATTTTGATCTGAGCGTCACTGAAAAGTCTAATGTACACGAAACGCGCTTCTGGCGTATTAAATTATAATCCTGGTACCTTTGATAGCTATTTACAACATGTCCGACGCGCTAGACCAATCGACCACCTAGACTCTACAGAAATTTCTCTAATTCTTCGTCAATTTATCCCTTTCTGCACCCATTGTGTTTGAAAATTTAACTGTCTCGAGTGGATTACATATCGTATCACACTCGATGCAGTGGCATATATATAATTCGCCTAACATCATCCCAACAATGTTAGATCTGTAAATTTGCGTTAGTAAATGTTTTGTTTTTCCCTCGACGGGATTCGAACTCATGCTTCTGAGATATCGTGGCACCAAATCGCATTGCACTGTGACCGACGCGCTAGACCACTCGACCACCTAGGCTCTTATTAAAAGAGCTTTCGGTGACCGGGTGTTACCTTTCCCTGTCAGTTTTAATCTAGCGTCGTAACACAGTACATGATATAAAAGGCATAAAGGTTGAATTGTTACAGACCAGTTGAATTATCTATTGTAAAGGATCCTACAAATTAATGTAAGATGCAGTCACAGAAATAATTATATTATAAGTACGTCTGAACCAGTGACGACTCTACAACAGATTTTATCCATCGGATCACTAGCAGTGATGGTGATACAAGGCTTAAAAAATATATATATAAGTCTGAAAATTACACCCAAGAGTGTTAGAATCATATTTTAATTCTCATAATTTTGTGTCCCTCAACAGAATTTGAACTCACATCTTTGATACAATAAGCACCAATCGCTTAACATCATGCCCAGCCCTATGGACCACGTCCGCTAAATAAAAATATATCTTCAATGGTCGTATTGTTACGTTGTTGCATAAGGCGAATCTATAGATAGACATAAGACATGTGTTTAAAGCGTGGGTAGATGGTGTTTTTAAAAAAAATTTCATACACAATACATTTTTATTTATTAACAATCTTACTCAACAATGTGTATATACCTTTGGGAAAATGTTTCAATTTATAATACAGTCACTAGAAATAAGTATAGCATACAGACAAGTCTGAGCAAGTGACAACCATACAATGTGCAAAAAAATTGAGAATGAACATGGGCAATATGTCAAAAAGAAAAAAAACCCGACCAAAGAGCAGAAAACAGACGGAGGTCACCAATGGGTCTTCAATGCAACAGGAAAATCCTGCAACCGGAGGTGGGCCTCAGCTGGCCTCTAAATATAAATGCGTATAAATAAAGGCAACAGTAGTATACCACTGTTCGAAATTCATAAATCGATTGAGAAAAAACAAATCCGGGTTACAAACTAAAACTGAGGGAAACACATCAAATATAAGAGGAGAACTACGACACAACAGAAACACAACATTAAAATGTAACACACACAGAAACAAACTATAATATAACAATGGCCATTTTCCTAACTTGGTACAGGACATTTTAAGAACAACATGGTGGGTTGAACCTGGTTTTGTGGCTAGCCAAACCTCCCTCTTGTATGGCAATGTTAAACATTAAAATAACAACATTACATGAAGGACTACGATACAAATAAATGGGAGAACATATTGGACAGAGAAACATACGAATAATATCTAACAAAAGGTACCAGGTTTAAAATTTAATACGCAAGATGCGCGTTTCGTCCACACAAGACTAACCAGTGACGCTCAGATCAACAAAGTACGAAAGCCAAAACAAGAACAAAGTTGAAGAGCATTGTGGACCAAACGTTCCAAAACGTTGTGCCAAATACGGCTAAGGTTATATGTCTGGGATAAGAAAATCCTTAGTATTTAGAATAATCCATACTTTTGCAAACAGTAAATTTATAAAAATGACTATATAATAGATATGCATGATAACATCGAAATGGTGACTAACTACAGAATAAAAACGGATACATAAAACAACATAAACCAGCACATAAAAATTCACAGCCGAGTTAGCCAAAGAGATCAACGCAAAAAAAGTGACGTCACATTTGAATTTCTGAAATTTCCCCAAAATAGGATAAAATTAGGATAGAATTCAAGATTTGGTTTATAATACTCATATAACATTTATAAATAACAATGAAAATAACAATACTAATTAATATAAATGTGGTAGTAATTAGATAATTAATAGTATTTTCTAGCTATGTCGGTGTTTCTTCTAAATCAAACTGTAAACCAAATATATCGTATAAATTTAGTTGACCAAAACTAAAATCTAATAAATGAACTGGGTGATTAATTATCTTTACCATAACACACGAATACAACAGAAAAAAAATAAGATTTACAACTACAAACGATAAGACATTTGACAAAATCCGATGAGAATAACAAATATAACATCAAAACTAAATACATGAATTTTGGATAGAAAAGTACCGTGACACGTCTTATAGCAATGCGAATTCACACTCAGCAAAACAGTCACAATCGGGAATAAGTCACGTTCGGTAATTAAAAGATCAGACGACGTAATGTCAAACCACAATCTAACACGTGGTAAAAATGTCCTTAGTTAGTTTGGACAAAGACACATCGTATGGATCGACCAATTCGTGATGGTGTCCGTAAAATTTACGGAGTGTCATTTTTAATCTGTCCTCCTCATAACTTTGTTGGAGCAGTTTCTGCGTTAGGAGCACACTCCTGTATGTGAAGTCCGTATAGTGTGAACATGCACGAGCATAACGTATCAACTGAGATATGTAAACACCATACGAAGGGGCAGAGGGTATGGGACTGCTGAGAAATGGGAAATTGATAATTGGGAAGTTGAAAAAAATTGAAAACAACACGTTTAATAATTTCCTGCGTCCGACGCGCTTTTCTGGATTTACCTTCATCAGGAACGCTCAATTCCAAACATTTGAAATCCGAGGGATGTATAAGTACCGAAACAGTTGAAGAGCTATATGACAAAAATACCTAAAACAAATAGCCAAATTCATCTAAGGTCAACTTTGCCTGAGGGAGTTGAAACCTTAGTTTCTTTATAATTTCAAAATTTATAAACGGACAATTTTAGAAAAGTTAGTTATAAATCATGTCAGTACCGAAGTACTGACTACTGAGCTGATGATACCCTTGGGGAATGATAGTCCACTAGCTGAGGTATCGACCCAGTGATGTAAAAAATTGAAAACAACACGTTTAATAATTTCATGCGTCCGAAGCGCTTTTCTGGATTAACCTTCATCAGAAACGCTCAATGCCAAACATTTGAAATCCGAGGGATGTATAAGTACCGAAACAGTTAAAGAGCTATATGACAAAAATACCTAAAACAAATAGCCAAATTCATCTAAGGTCAACTTTGCCTGAGTGAGTTGAAACCTTAGTTTCTTTATAATTTCAAAATTTATAAACGGACAATTTCCGAAAAGTTAGTTATAAATCATGAATTATGAAATCGTCCCGTTTATCATAGTTTTTCGTGTGAAGTCGTTCATCTGGGTCAATATTGAGGAAAAGATCAAGGTATGAAGCAGTCCTTCTATTATCAGTAGTATCCTTAATTTAAAGTTCACTGGGATATATAAGATGTAAGTATTGGCTGAAATATAAGTTCAGTGTACATGGATGTCATACTTAATTCCAAAGCATAAATAATTCAAAAAACATACAAGACTAACAAAGGCCAGAGGCTCCTGACTTGGGACAGGCGCAAAAATGAGGCGGGTTTAAACATTGGTGGCCTTCGGCTGTTGTCTGCACTTTGGTCGGGCTGTTGTCTCTATGACACATTCCCCATTTTCATTCTAAACTCAACCCTCTCCAATACCTCTAATCTATGTAGACTAAACAAACATACAGTATACATACAATGCAACTCAGTTTAAAGACGTCCGAGTGCAATGTCAGAATAGGTAAACAAAAATTTTAAAAAAACAAAAAACCTAAATGACAATAATACATACATTAACAAAGGACTACTAGCTGTTACTGATGACAACTCCAGACCTCATTTAAATTGAATGAAAAATTATCTCTTCATTTTATGTAACTGGATCGCAGAGGGTTAATACAAATACATGCAAACCTCGTTGTGTCGAACTGGGTTGTGTCGAAAACTCGGATGAGTCGAAGTAATTTCTCGGCCTCGGTAAAATACCCGTTTGATCAATGCATAGTTACCTCTGATGAGTCGAGCTCGGTTGATTCTAATTCTCGGTTAAGTCGAGTAAATTCTATACTCCTGTCGATGTTTAACTAATGTAAATTGAAGTTCGAAAGTAAAACTATTTTAAAGAAGCAGACTGATGATGGAAATTCAAATCGGATGTTCTTCTTATGTAACCTAATCATTTTCAAAAGAAATTAAATCTGAGTAAACATACATGTTTGTTTAACTGTTAAAATGACATGGTAATGGTGACCGGTTATTAACACCTCTGTTGATCGTTCAAGCGGAATGTTGTGATACACATATTTCAAAATGATATAAAAACGAAACGAATTTAAATGTCCCAAGCCGAATTAAATGAATCGTTAGATTTTAAACTCATTTGATACATAAAAGGATTAGGACAATTATTTTAAATTCATGACCATTTTATGTATGCAGTCGACCTTATCTATATAAGTCTGAATAGTTTTACCCAAATGTGTTAGAGTTATCTTTTTATGCTGCCAAATTTTTGTCACTCAACGGGATTCGAACGCACACCCTTGATACACTATAACATTATTCGCTTAGCGTAATGCATATGTTTAGCGCTGTAGACCACTTGACCACAGCCGCTATATGAAATTATAACTTAAATAGTCGTAGTGTGACCTTGTCGCGTAAGGCGAATCTAGAGATAGATATAAGACATATATTTTAAGCGTTTATATGCATAATTGTGAAGCATATTCAGAATGAAATTTTCATAGAAGTCAGTATCCATTATGACAACACTGCTACATTTATCGTCTTATTTTATCACAATGTTTTCATTGTTTTGAAGATCGGTAATAATATTTCCAGTCTTTTTTCTTCAGGATTGATGTAATTTGTGGATGTTGAATATTTGCGTAAGGAAAATCCGTAATATATTCACAATATCTATCAAGGTTTAGTTTAACACCTTTAGAAGCGTATAGCCGGATTTGTTTCTAATTGAAGACTCGTTCACATTGTCTTGATAGTTTTCTGCCAAAATAAGAAATTTCATCGTATATTTCTGTGTAGTTCAATTTTTATGTTGTGGGAGTAAGTTTCATTCTCTTTGATAATATGCAAATTTGTTTAAGATATAGTTTGTTTGTAGTTAGATTTATTAATATTTGTATTGGTTGCTCTAGGGTTTCATATTACATTGTATTTTGCAATGTATTTTTTTTTTACATTGTTTACATGTATTTCGTTTGAGGGCCTCAATGAAAATGATTATTATTATTTTTATTATTATTATTATTATTATTATTATTAAAATATACAAAATAAACATTCACTGACTTTAATCGCCTTGTGTATGACGTTGACAATGCGTTTATAAAACAGGTGATCGGAAGATGCTAGACCTTGTTGAATATTCCGTATCTAAAAGTAAAATCACAATAATACTAAACTCCGAGGAAAATTCAAAACGGAAAGTCCCCAATCAAATGGCAAAATCAAAAGATAAAACACATCCAACGAATGGACAACAACTGTCATATTCCTAACTTGGTACAGGCATTTTCTAAAGTAGAAAATGGTGGATTGAACCTGGTTTTATAGCTAGCTAAACCTCTCACTTGTATGACAGTCGCATCAAATTCCATTATTTTGACAACGATGCGTGAACAAAACAAACAGACATATTAGGTAAAAATGTCAAAAATAGGGGTACAGCAGTCAACATTGTGTTTTAATCTCAATCACTCATAAAAACACAAACAAATAAGTAACAAAGTGCACAAAATGGCATATAGACCAAGCATATTAGCAAAAATTAAAGACAAGAATACACATATTTACTATAGTAGAATGACATAATGACGGGATGTATAAGTACAGAGCCACGTCATATATATATATGCATCAAAGAAACATAAAAAAGGATATAGACAAAGCACATAGCAAAAATGAACGACAAACAAACAAACATGTTTTACAATAGCATAATAACGGGATGTATAAGTACAGAGCAACGTTATATGTATCGAAGTAACACCAAAATGCATATAGACATAGCACATAAGCAAACATTGAAAGACAAGAATACGAGAATATCATACTAGCGAAATAGGATGAACGGATTATATAAACCGCAGGGAAAATATAATACAGGCCCAAACGAAATAAATATAAACAAGCCTAATTTGAAAACAACGTTCAAACCTATGATTGCTTTAGATAAAAAACCGCAATTTTTATACGTGTGCATGTAAAACAAATTTCGTTGTAGAGGGGTCTACATACAGCACAAACAACATTTTCCAAAAGGACCAAAAGAATGAAAAAGTATATTTTAACAAAACTATATATATATATAACTTATTGGATAGTTGTCTCATTGGAAATCATACTACATCTCTTTATTTTTAATAACTGATGGATAATTTATTTGAAATTTATTCATGGTTAAATTCCTTTGTGTAGAGCATAATACCTTTGTATACGGACGAATTTTATTCCATAAGACCACTGTTAATTTGTTGATCCTCGTTCAAGCAGTAATCATGTAATGATTAGTTTTGTTTGACCACCCAATATTATACCGTGCTTGTTCTGGACACATTTTTTCAGCATTGATTCAGATAAATCCTCAGATGTAAATTCACAACCTTTGTCATTTTGCTGTTTTTGTGGCACACACAATATTGTGGAAAAAACTACTAAATTAGAAGCCGACTAAGAAGCGCTTTTTGTTTTAAGAGCTTTTAGTAATATAAAAAAAGAGTACTATTAATTGATCTTGTTACATCATAAGAAAATATAGTTTTGCATCTTACTCAGATCGGAAGTTGTAAAACCCTTTGGATAAAACTGGTTTTCTACTCCCCCATCCCTTTGCACATTTTATCAAGTAATATGTTTACAATATTGAAAATAATGGTACAATAGAATCATAGAAAATGTTTGCTAAATCCTCGAATCTGATGTTTGATTTGATATATAATGATAATACGCCGCTTTGACATATTTCTGTATGTGTGTTTAAAAAAAACATGAAAGGTGCACTAGCTGTGAAATTCTTGTTCACCGATTTGACTCAAATTCTCATACTTGATTTTCAACAATGTAAAACATTTATCCAAATAATAAGAGAGTCTAAAATAAACAATATACGGGCATGGTCTCGTTAATATATAGCTTCGTTTCGTGTGTATTTTAGTCTAGATGCCATCTAATTAACTGTAGAAGCCTTCCGATCGCAATATAAGCGATATTAACTTAAATATAGTTATACATAGATATCAAATTCGTGCATGTTCATTTTCTAGGTCTGTTTAATTTCATATTATAGATTAAAAATATATGTTAAAATCATCGTTTTTACCTGTTAAAGAATGATTTTTTTTGTGGATAGAATCAGTCAATCAAATGATTTACCTTTGTTTCACTTTCAAAGATGACATTCTTTTCCTTTAAATAATTGAACACACACTATGCATGCGGTATGCATCTCTAGCTTAGGGGTTAAATTGAAGCTCACATGATTACGGATTCAATGGGGTCTAATTATTCACTTGCATCATCAATGTTTCTTAGCTTATTTTGCCAAAATGAACCATACTGGCTGCTAAAAGCGATATATTGTTTCATTATTTAAACTTTCATTAAATGATTGAACGAAAACAATATTTTACATTTTTTATATATCTCGTATCTAGTAACCCTATAAGTTTATCTGATTGAAAGATTATGTTTTCATCATATGAAAATATGCACAATTCCTACCGTTAAAGTTTTAGAATCATACCTTTATAAAATATATGAGAAAAACATAAATGGTAAGATGCCAATTATTGGTTTTAGAATATATATGTTTATTTCCGATGCAATAACCCGTATGACCCGTATAATATATCATATAATTGTTTTCTTTTCACATAATGGAAACTAAAACATCTTTTCGAGTATAATCCAAACGATGCCTTTGTGTGACAACTATGCAGCTCGAAAACAAACTCAACAACCTACATTATATTTAATATTTTGAATATTAACAACGCAAAATACATTTTTGGAAAATATTCAGTTTTTTTTCTGAATTGTTTATAATATTTCCACCTTCTTCCTTACTTCCTTAAGAATATTTTTAAATATGCTAAATCTTCAAGAAACAAAAGAAAAACATATATTTATTATTCCTTCTTCCTGAGAAATAAAGTATATGGAAATATTTTTTTCAAAAATGGGTAGATTAAGATCACTGTTGTAACATATTTTCCATATTTTTTTTATATTAATACTTCCTGGTATTTTTCATCTCTTTTGTTTTGTAACTTACATATTCAATGGACCAATTCATCTAGTATCTGACTACAAAAGCTTGATTGGACAAAAGTAACTAGCGAAATGACAAAACATGCAAGTATATAAATGATAAAAACGAAAGAAACTCCCTCAAAGCTTTCATGTACCCACAGTACCATACATTGAGTAAACAGGTAATATTTTATAACATATTCATTGTATGAGGCTATAAATTGACTTATTGTAGACATAAATCGTGATCGTTTTATTTTCTTAAAAAAAATCAAAAGAAAATTTTCAATTTAGGTCATTGGAAATAATGAATAAACGATAAAATATATTTTATCATAATTTATCATAATTGATATCATTTTCATCATGATACTTAGCTCATCCGACTTAAAGGCACATGCGAGCTTTCTCACAACTTGCAGTCTTTAGTCGTACGTTAATATGGCCCACTTGGCTGAAATAGGTGCAACATTTGTCCATTACTTTAGAAACCGCTATAATCATAGCAAATCTGACAGAATAAAAATGTTCAAGATTGAGAATTTATTCTTGTCCAAATTCATCAAAACTGTAAGACGGCTTCCTGCGGGAGGTATTAACCTTAAATGACAAATTTTGCCAATCGTTTTTTTGTTTTTCGGTCGACTACTTATTTGAGTTTTTGCTCTTCAATTACAATGTTTACAATTTCTTCCGTTTTGCCTATTATCTTTAAAAAATATACAAATATATAAACACTTAAAAAAGGTGACTATGATCAACCTGACAAGATCTACAAATAAGTCAAACGAAATCGTTGGTACACTCTGTAAAGAAGTAATCTCCTTTAAGGATTGGTTACATAAGTTTTTTTTTTGTGTTTTAGAAAAACAATCAGCAATACAAAATTAACAAAAAGATATTTTTGAACTGATTTATATTTTAGTTGAAGATTCACATCGACTTAGGTAATCATGAACGACACATATTCTTAAAGGGCCTCTAGTTGTTATGATCGTATTTAATAAGGTGCATTCAGTTTAATTTTTTTCTTCATATATAAATTAGAATATGTGGGACGATTGCCAATGAGACAACTCTCAACAAAAGACCAAATGACACAGAAACTACCAACTACATGTCACCGTAAGGCAGCCAACAATGTGTTACACTAATACTGCATTGTCAACAATACATGGCCCCAAAATGGTAAATGTAAAACTAGCGTCCTGATCTATGTACAAAATATTGAACGTAAAACATTATGATAGACATAAACCAACGGCAAACATTAAATTGCTGGTTTCTGACTTGAGACAGGCACATACAGAGTGTGGCGGAGTCAAACTAGTTTGAAGGCGCTCCAAACCTAAAGCTCTACTACCAACCTTCCCCGTATAACTATTCTTCTTCTTAATTAATACTTCATTTTATGTATGTGTGGTTTTTTTTTTGTACAGGGTGGAAATCACGAGAATGTACAGACTGTCTAACATAACTACTATTATTTGTTTTGTGTCTATTGGTATGATCATGAAAGGTAAGATATTTCTTCCCTTTGACATATGTTGTTTATTGTTTTTTATATTTATGAATGCTTGGTGTTTCTATTGATTTCAATACTGTCTATCATTCGTCATGAGCATTCATGTATTCATTCATTAATGTCTTTATTTCTTTATAGTTGAGATATAATGATTAAATACACAAAATTTAAAAACAGATCCCACAACAATAATAATAAACGAAAGAGGAACAAGAACACACACGGGTTTTTTTTTTACACGTAAACACAAGTATACACTTAGGTCACTCGGCATAAAGTCGCTTTGAAATCTGTATTCACGGAGAATGGCATACAACTTCATATGCTGACTTCAAAACAGAATCGCCAATTCATAATTTCTAGAGTACTTGAAACACACATCAAACATAAAAGATAACGGGGGCGTGACAATACATGCTATGTCATCAGCAAGAGCGGGTGCACAGCAATTGATACTGTATGTATCTGTGTTGTAATTGCATTTTCCAATTTCACATTTCAACTCATTGATAAATAATGATTAACAATACACCAGACAGCATACTTCCCCGTCTTACACCTTATAATCCTGGAAAAAAAATAACTGATGTTGGGTAACAAGTATAGCAAAAAAAGTATGCATGAAAGTTCTTGAGTATTGCAAATTATTTTACAATTCACAACTAGTACAATAGTTATCAAAGGTACCAGGATTATAATCTAATACGCCAGACGCGCTTTTAGTCTACATAAGACTCATCAGTGACGCTCATATCAAAATAGTTATAAAGCCAAACAAGTACAAAGTTGAAGAGCATTGAGGACCCAAACAATTCGTATATAAGACCTTTTTTTAATTCAAATCTAATGCTATCTATATAAAAATCTTACTACAAAATTCAAGATTATGGATACCTTTCTCATTAAGCGACTAGGAATATATATCAATGAAACACTCCTAAACTTGGAAATCTCAGGTACTTCAGTAAGAGCAAGACCGGATGCCTTATCAGGATTTCATGCTATACATTACTCCCCTTAATGCGAATCCATACCTGTCACAAAATTATAATCGATAGAACAACTTCTAATTATCCTTTATCTAAAGATCTCAGATTGCAAAAACATGTTGCACGTTAGATGTGCCACATTTTGTTTGCATCGGTGTACTTCTTCTTCGTTACTTTGTTAAAACAGTTGTTGAGTAAGAGGAAACCCCCATTTTATGAATTCCGTATGCCGCTAAACATACGAATTAATATATGTGAACGATATACAAGGGGAAAAGGGGATAAGAAAAATAGGAATGAAATCAACAAAGTCTCTTCCGACACATAAACTTTATTATCAAATTCCTACATAAGCTTCGTTTTTTTATTTATTTCTAAGGTTCATACAATTATAAGCAATTTGATTCCACTATTTGATGTTGCCTTGTTACCGGTTATGATCAAAAGAGTAGTAAAGTTGTTGTCTGGTTGTCTTCAACTTCTGGTTAATTTACTTTTTCATAATGTATTTCGAATTTTTATTTGAGGATAGTTTACACTATTTGATTTCAATTAAAAATGCCATAAGATTAGAATACAAACGTATAATTTTTATTCACTTGTGTTATTAAGTTTACGAAAACATTGAGATCCAAGTTTTAAATCCGATGAGGCTGTATTTTCTTTTGTATATTTTAAGAATAGCGCTATTTCAAAGATATTCTAATACTTTATAAATACTTAGCCGTCGCACAGGATTGTGATTCTTCAAGATTGAATTCCTGCGGAAAAAAGTTCAACAACGTATTGGTATATACATCCATCCTTGACAAGCGGAAAATATGCAGGTAAAATTTTAATTCATAAAATTGAGAATGGAAATGGGGAATGTGTCAAAGAGACAACAATCCGACCATAGAACAGACAACAGCAGAAGGTCATCAACAGGTCTTCAATGCAGCGAGAAATTCCCGCACCCGGAGGCGTCCTTCAGCTGGCCCCTAAACAAATATATATACTAGTTCAGTGATAATGAACGCCATACTAAACTCCAAATTGTACACAAGAAACTAAAATAAAAATAATACAAGACTAACAAAGACTAGAAGCTCCTGACTTGGGACAGGCGCAAAAATGCGGCGGGGTTAAACATGTTTATGAGATCTCAACCCTCACCCTATACCTCTAGCCAATGTAGAAAAGTAAACGCATAACGATGCGCACATTAAAATGCAGTTCAAGAGAAGTCCGAGTCTGATGTCAGAAGATGTAACCAAAGAAAATAAACAAAATGACATTAATACATAAATAACAATAGACTACTAGCAGTTAACTGACATGCCAGCTCCAGACTTCAATTAACTGATTGAAAGATTATGTCTTCATCATATGAATATCAGGCACAATCCTTCCCGTTAGGGGTTTAGTATCATACCATCATAACATATATGAGAAGAACAAAACCCGTGTCATGCCAACAACTGGTTTTTAAATAAATGTGTTAAGTGCCGATGCAAAGACCCTATAAGTGAATCAATATTAACGCCAAAATATGCAATCTTTAATGACCTGACAACAGTATCGTAACTATATCCCTTCTTAATAAGTCTATTTAAAGGTTTTGTTAGCTTCAGAGGTGAATACTGACATTTTTGTGCTTTAGAAAGAATATTTCCATAAAAAAATTGGATGTGAAATACCTGAACGTATAAGAAGTCTGCATGTTGAGCTATATTTACGAATGATGTCCTTATACCGATGATAAAATTTAATAAATGTTTTGACTAGTTTGTGATATCGAAAACCCTGGTGTAATAATTTTTCAGTAATACATAAATTTCTCTCGTTAAAATCTAAAACATTGTTACATACACGAGCGAATCGTACAAGTTGAGATATATAAACACCGTAAGATGGTGACAAGGGAACGTCACCATCTAAAAATGGATAATTAACGATAGAAAATGAAAAATCATCTCTTTTATCATATATTTTAGTATTAAGCTTTCCATTAATGATATAGATATCAAGATCGAGGAAAGGGCAGTGGTCATTGTTAGTATTAGCTTTATTTAAAGTAAGTTCAAAAGGATAAATTTCTTTAGTATACATACTGAAGTCGTCATTATTGAGAGCCAAAATATCATCCAAATATCTAAAAGTATTATTAAATTTGTGTATCAGATGTTGCTTCGATGGGTCTTGACTGATTTTTGTCATAAATTGTAACTCATAGCAATACAAAAAAAGGTCCGCAATAAGTGGTGCACAGTTAGTCCCCATTGGAATTCCGATAACCTGACGATATACGGAATCTCCAAAGCGAACAAAAATGTTATCTAGTAAAAATTCAAGGGCATATATAGTATCAAAGCATGTCCAATTGACATAGTTTTTTTGTTTATTGCTACTAAAAAATGACCTAAAAGAGTTTGAACATATATATTCACATTCTGACTTTTTAAATGCCCATTTAATTAGGGTGTGAATTTTTTCTTAAGTAGAATGTGAGGCAATGTGGTATATAGCGTAGAAAATCAAAACTTTGAACAGATTCAAAATCACCAATATATGCATGTAATTTATCAAGTACTTCCAACGAGTTCTTTACACTCCAAAAGTAATTAATTCCACTTTTTTCGAAGGCCTTATTCGAACAATGTATTATCAGGTTTTTGATTGTACCAAGTGTACTGGTAAGAAGAATAGACAATTTAGTAGTGGAACAATGGCTTGAAGACGAAATGAATCTATATTTGTAAGGTGTTTTGTGTAGCTTCGGAAGCCAATACATAGTTGGGACTTTCATTGTATTTGGTTCTGCTTGTAAAGCGGTAGCTAAAAGTTTATGTTTGCTACAGATGTCGTTTTCTGAAAATGGAGTCAGTTGGAATGTTGGTGAATTGGTGATTTCTTTTTTCAGAACCTCAATGTAAAATTTACGTCAAACAATAATAATATTATTAGCAGCTTTATCGGCCGGGACAAAAATAAATTCCTTGGCTAGTTCTCTTAGTTTATGTTTGATACGAGAAATAGGTTTATTGTGGTTATTGTTAAGAGTAAAATGTTCTTTAAAATGTTGAATACGTATATCAACTATGTTCATTACTGAATTAAAAAAAGAGTCCAAAGATTTTTTGTCAGCTTTTTCCCGTTTTATCCATTTCAAACAGTAAGTATGGAGTGAGTCGTGGATGATATTACGACACTCATTCCAATTAATAATTGACGGGGGACGATATTTAGGTCCTTTACTGAGGAATGATTTTAACTCTCGGTCTTGAACGATGTTAAGATCACCTGTTATAACATGGGAAATGGGTCCATAAATGTATTCGGAATTACTGCAATTACATGAAGTAGGTGTATTTTCACTGATATTAACATCTTTACACAATTGGCTATAATTAAACACAAATTTCCAGGTAGATTTTTTGTAAATATAACAAATAAGAGGGAGCTCAGTATTATCAAAATATCCCGGAATTTGTTCTTTAACAGAATGGTCGTTAAAAATACCGGCAATATTTACAAAATCAAAACCTTTATTGACATACTTTATTTTAATAAACTGTTTTTTTATGATCTTCAGGGCGATCAATTTTGGGAAACAGTTTAGAATAACAATATGCAATTATAATTTGTACGATTTCATACTTAGGACTGCTATATGAAATTGTGTTGCAATCCTCTAAAATTTTATTTAACTTATTAACCGGTAATGAACAGAGCTTTGTTAACAGATAATGTCTGCCGTTGTGTTTTGAAATAGAAATTATGTCCGAAATATTGGTATGATTGGTCCGAAATTTTCTTTGATTGCGATTTTTTCTACGACCATGAGAACGGTTTTTACGAACAGTTTTAGAAACTATATCCAAAATGTTAACAGAATCGATTCTTGATATATTACCAATTCCCATGATATTATCATTAAGACCGAGAGGGTAGACTGTCTGTAATTTTTTAATCCAATTTAATTCAATTATTTTCCGTGATCGTACAAACTTTGAATGAGATTCACCAGGCTGCTTATTTACTACTTCTAAAGGTTGAACTGCTAAATATTTAATAGGATGATTGTGCTTTTTAAGGTGTTGATAAATGATTCTTTTGAATTTATTGGGTCTTTTAAAACGATACAGATGTTCTTGAGTGCGTTTAGATAAATATCGTCCAGTTTCACCTACGTACTGTATACCGCATCCCAGTTTGTTTCATGTGAGTAAATAAATGATACTGTTTGTTTTTCAAGTTATATCAGTTTCAAAATTTAAAGAAAATGTGCGACCATTAAACGTGGACCTTCCCGTATTGTTGGTGGAAAGACGGGAACATGTAAGTCATTTTGTGGCATGACACTTATCGATAGAAGGGTAACCACGATTTTTATTGTTAAAAATGTTAGCGATGGTAGTATTTTTAGATAAGCGATTTTGAAGATTAAATTTTGTAGTTTTATTTTCTGAACGCTTACCTGACTTTGCCTATATATACTTTTTGTCCAATTTCCTGTATCAACCCATAACTTTCTTAATATGTTGTTTCAGACATTTTGGCATCCTGCATCACTGTAGTGACATTTATTATCGCAATTGGCTCTGTTAAAATTATCCCGAAGTGATCATATTTGTGTTCGTCTTCATATAACATTTGAATGAACATGAGGGGTTGAAAATCACATTCACACATTCATTAACTCCAACAGCTTTTGAAAGAAGATACTAGAATACTCATCACGATGTTGCCTTTTTTATATTTAGGACAAAATTGGTGAAACAGATGTAGATGTAATAAGAAGTGGTATGGGTGCCAATGCGACATCTCTCCATCCATTATAGGTCAAAGTACGGTCTTCAACTCGGAGCCTTGACTCATACCGAACAACAAACTATAACGGGTTCCAAACATGACTAGTGTAAAACCATTCAATCGGGAAAACCAACGGTATAATCTATATAAAAAACGAGAAACGTGAAACACTTATGAACCACATCAACAAACGACAACTATTGAACATCATATTATGTATTCAATATTAAATCATAATTGATTGCATTTTAATGTCTTTGATATATTTTTTTTTCATTTAAATCCCAGTGCTTCATTTGTCTATTTGAATTGTTTAAATTCATTTGCTGACTGTGATAAGAATCTTGATAATGTCATCGCCACTACCAAAAAGCTCATATCTACCTACAATTGTGGTAGCGGTATGTATGCAATATTATATTTATACATATATATATACATGGAAATGTATCACTAGCTTCTAACTTTTGTGTCATTAGTAGATTAAATGTCCGTCTAGAGTACAAGTTCATTTTCTGGTATCCTTGTTTTCAAATTTTTGGAATCAGTTTACAGTAATAACTGACGGCATGTCCTTACTCGGGAAATAGCTAACAATCGTAGTCATAATAATAAATTTGAAATCCAAATATTTATTAATTTTTATGGTTCAAAACGGGACTATCAAGGTATCAAGAAAACATTAAAAAAAGTTCTAGACTTTGTTCACTACGGGTTTGTATAAACATAGACTCGTAAAAACAATCTACTAAATTGGCACGTGTATAGAAAATGTTAAATCGGCAAAATTTGTAAGTTCTCGAAAAAAATAATTTCCCAGGATTGACATATTATTCGTCGCACGAATTTATTGTTTTGTAATGCTATGTGTCATTACTATTTACTATACTTCTTTTTTAGATGTTAATGTTATTGTATATAAAAATAAGGAGACTTCGCATTATTGAAAATAAGACTACTATCCATCAGAGTGCAAATGAATTTGATGACAGTAATTATGGGCCACCATAAGACTTCAACAATGAAAAATAATAATATCGTATAGCCGGCTATAAAGGACCCATAACGAAAAATGTGAAACAATGAAAATCAAGAACGTTAAGGGCTTAATTTCAAAAAAAAATCACATAACAAATATGACAGAAAGGAAACCAAAAACAACCACTGTACTACAGGGTCCTTCTTTGGGACAGACACATACAGAGTGTGGCGGGGTTGAACATGTGGTTAAGCACTCACCCTTCTTCTAACCTGATAGGAGAACAGCACAACATAAGAACAACATGAAAAAATGAAAAGATCGGCATGAAGGTCCCACACAAATAATATTTTAAAAATAGACACAAATCACCAAATTTGTCAATATATCAGAAATATATACAACTGCCATACAAGTGGGAGGGTAAGTTAGCTGTTAGAACATGTCTTATTACGAATTTTCTGCCAAGTCAGGAATAGTACATGTGTGTCTAGTCATTCCGTTGGTTGTTTTACATGTAATATATTGTTTGGTTCTGTCAGTTTATATTGACGTCCGCCTTTTTATTTACGTTAGAGTTCAGTATATTCATAATTATATGTTTTCTTTATTCTTAAGTTATCGGGTTTTTTTTTTTAAATAATAAGATAGTTTAAACATATTTTATTGTTCAAAAATGACGAATGGATTAGACACAAGTTTTTCAACTTAGTAACGTCTTCTCCAAAAGTCTTCTCCAAACGTCTTCTCCAAAATAATAAGATGTGGTATACTTGCCAATGAGACCACCTTCTAAAAGAGACCAAATGACACAGAAATTAACAATAAAATTGAGAATGGAATCGAAATGGGGAATATGTCAAAGAGACAACAACCCAAAAAAGAGCAGACAACAGCCGAAGGCCACCAATGGGTCTTCAACGAGCGAGAATAGTTAAGTTAAGGTCCAAGGCTATCATCGTACTAGTAGTTGGTACTACTGTACTACCGGTGAAATGCTGAAAATGATGGATTGTATACTTGTATTATTTAGTACTATTATAGAACTATCACTTGATTGCTGTCGCTTCTGTTGGATTATCAATTTCTGGGATTATCACCCTTCTAGGAGGCAGTTCTTCAGTTATACCACCTTTAAAGAAAGAATCAGGATTACGATTTGCCAGGTCATAAACTAATAAATTGTACTAAAATTAAAATCTCATCGTACCATGATGATTTTACCTAATCGCGTTACCCTCATGCTTTTAATGTAACAGTTGTATAACGAAATGTTTTCTTTGCAGGAAATGGTGCCGGAAGTCTTGTTTTCAACATGCTTACTTTGGTTTTAGGACTTGCATTGTATAAGCTTTATTAGATTTCTTACATTAATTAATAAACAGATATTGTATTTGCAAATAACGGCCCCGTGAATGGGCAGATTATAACAATCATAATTTTTAAATATAATATAAATAATCAAGAAAACAAAGTATAACATGATTAGTTGACAATTAGTTGTTTCATATTTGAAATGTAATTGCAATAAGGAGTTGGTAAAATATAAATATATATGTGGTAAAACATTGTTTATTACCATGGACCCTTCAATGGACATCGCACCTCTATGTATCATGATGGTTAATTGAAAATATAGGTTATGCATATATCTAATTTGCAAAACATATCCTTATTCGTAAACTGTCATGTTTTCTTTATCAAACTGTTAACATAAACTTCTAAAAACCATTTTCATTTTCTTGTTTTGATTGATATTACAAATTCTAAATATGAACTAATCGAAATTTCTTGTTTTACAGTAACAACAATATTTTTTTTTGGCATACTATACAACCCGGCCCGACAAAGTAGAGGTGTATACAGATGGATATGTCCATCTGTTCGTCCTCGTTCTCCCGCTTCGATTTGAACTGCTTGACACGCGACAAAGAAGACGTACATAGTCTTTCCGAATAGACCAAGGTTGTGAGGTCGTTGATACAAATCAGAATCAAGAAACTGAATGGGTTTATAATATCCATGTTACACAAATTTGCTCAGACCCAAATGTTGCAAAACAATTGTCCTACCTCCAATAACAAATATGTTGTTGTTCCCGCAGATAAAGCCCAAACAACATCGTTTTTGTGTGTAAATCATAAACTGCTTGCTAAATAAATTGGGTACTGACATTTCACTTTGAAACTCAACATTTAACATTGACATATAAGCGGGAGGTTTGGCTAGCCATAAAACCAGGTTAAACCCACCATTCTTTCTCAAAAGAAGATTTGGTATGAATGCAAATGAGACAACTCTTCACAAGAGACCAAATGACACGAACATTAACAACTATAGGTCACCTTACGGCCTTCAACAATGACCAAAGCCCATATCACATAGTCAGTTATAAAAGGCCCCGATATATTAAATGTAAAACAATTCAAACGAGAAAACTAACGACCTAATTAATGTACAAAAAAAAAGAACGAAAAACAAATATTTTACAGAGCAACAAATGACAACCTGCGTTACAGGCTCCTGACTTGGGACAGGCACATACATACCTATATGGCGGGGTTAAACATGTTAGCGGGATCCAAACCATCCTTCTAACCTGGGACAGTGGTGTAACAGTACAACAAAAGAACGAACTATAAAAATCAGTTGAAAAAGGCTTAACTTATCAGATGGATACAAATAGAAATACATATAACAAAAACACAGAGTGGACGTGGCCGGGTCCGTTTCTATATATTTTGGCGTTTGTTTTTGTTGCATTTCAGTGTTTCTGGTGTTCCGTTATTTTCCTCTTATAGTTCATGTGTTTCCCTCGGTTTAAGTTTGTAACCCGGATTTGTTTTCTTTTAATCGATTTATGACTTTTAAACAGCGGTATACTACTGTTGCTTTTATATATATACCCCAACGACACTTAACAAAGAGGAAATCCTGGATAATCTTCGGTCTGTTATATGTTCCTTTGGAATTTCAACCAAAGATGAAGAACTGGATCTTCCATAACTGTATTGGATACCTAAACTACATAAATGTCCTTACAAACAATGGTATATTGCTGGGTCTTCAAAGTGCTACACGAAACCTGTTTCTAAATTATTAACATTAATTTTAACAGCGATCAAAGCCGGGCTTCTAGGTTATTCTGAAACTACCTATTCTAGAGGTGGCGTGGATCAGATATTGACACTAAAAAATTTCAAAGATGTTTTAGAATACATACAATCTAAAACTCTTCAATCTTGTAATTGTATTAAAACATTTGACTTATCTACACTTTACACAAGTATTCTCATTTCAAACTAAAAGACAAATTAAAAGTGTTGGTCACATTTATTAATAACAATGAAAATTACAATACTTATTAATATCAAATTGTGGTAGTAATTAGATAACTAATTGTATTATCTAGCTATGTCGGTGCTTCTTCTGAATCAAACTGTAAACCAAATATATCGTATAAATTTCGTTGAACCAAACTACAATCTAATAAATGAAGGAGGTGATTAATTATCTTTACCATAACACACGAATATAACAGAAAAGACGTTAAGACATTTGACAAAATCCGACGAGAATAACAAATATAACATCAAAATTAAATACATGAATTTGGGATAGAAAAGTACCGTGACACGTCTTATAGCAATGCGGTTTCACACTCAGCAAAATAGTCACAATCGGGAATAAGTCACGTTCGGTAATTAAAAGATCAGACGACGTAATGACAAACCACAATCTAACACGTGGTAAAAATGTCCTTAGTTAGTTTGGACAAAGACACATCGTATGCATATGGATCAACCAATTCGTGATGGTGTCCGTAAAATTTACGGAGTGTCATTTTTAATCTGTCCTCCTCATAACTTTGTTGGAGCAGTTTCTGTTAAGGAGCACACTCCTGTATATGAAGTCCGTATAGTGTGAATAAGCACGAGAATAACGTATCAATTGAGATATGTAAACACCATACGAAGGGGCAGAGGGTATGTTGCTGCTGAGAAATGGGAAATTGATAATTGGGAAGTTGAAATCGTCCCGTTTATCATAGATTTTCGTGTGAAGTCGTCCATCTGTGTCAATATTGAGCCAATATAAAAAGTCACAGGACTGAAAGTTACAAATTTGATAGGACAAAAAGTCACAAATAATTTGTTGACAATTGATTGAATATATAAGAGAAAAATTTTGAAATAATTACTTTTGATTACGTATATTCTTTTGACAATTTGGGAAATTGTTCAATTGCTTTGATAAATGAAAATTAATTAAATTCCTATCATTAAAATGATATTTTTTGTAGCACCATGAATCCGTTTAGGTACCATGCCACTTTGACATTTTGTTTTTGAAATGAGAAGAAACACAGGTTCTATAAAAAAAACAAATCTGCTACGAAACAGAAATATAAACCGTAAACTAGAATTTTCTTTTTACCAATCGTTTCATAACTGATTCCATTTAAATTTTTCTATGATATAGTTTATTCTTTTATTAGTTCTGGCTAAAACAGACTTGATCGTAAAAACATGTCAGAGAAGTATCAAAATCGGGTTTTATAGGTACCTATACTAAATAATAATATTTAGTAAATATAAACTGTTACCTAGATTCTTGAAATATGCTTGTATTCTTGTTGCATTTATTTTGAAAAATGTTTTATAATTTGTAAATGTAATAATTCTATCCGGTGTATTCTTATAGAGGATAAAACATTGAAATATATTTCACTTAACTTTTGGGTAGTTATAATTATTTAGATAGTGTTTGACAACACGTTACGGTTGACTGCTCAGATAATGCGTATATTGAAATGCAAATAACTTTCATCAAATATCTGTCATCTGTCAAAAATTAAAAAAATATAAAGTAAATAAGATACTCAGAATATATTTTCCTGACAATTTTTATGTGGCTAAGAACAATTATTTTAAATGACAGATGAAAATTTATTTAACAACATTTTTTATATTTATTACTAATAATTTTATCTTTACAAACGGAATAAAATACTAGATTATTTAATGCCAGAAAGCACGACTGCAAAGTTTTTATGACTTACACACTTGCCCGGTTACAACAATTATTCTTTTCTTATATAACCAATTAAAAAATGACTTGAAATAAAATCGGAAAAAAATTAGTTGCAAGTTTGCAAACGTTATTTAATGAACTAGAAATACACTATAACATTAAAAGACCACAAAAGAATATCCTCCAAGCTTTGCCGATTTTATTCATAAAGGGGGAACAACTCCTGATAAACACAGATAAAGTGTCGCCCGTTTTGCATCCGAATATTTAAAATCTTCACACGACTGAACACAGTCTTACAAAATCTAAACAGCATTTTTACCTTTGGTCTAATTTGATCTAAAGATGATCTAATCAAGTCTTGATCGAATGCAAGAAAAATCTGTCTTGTTTATCTTGACATGACTGAACGGACTTAACACGGTATATCGTGACAGCGTTTGCAAGTCTGAAAAAGTCTTGACGTTTTTCCCTAGCAGTAAATCTAGTCGATTAAGACTTGATCAGACCAAAATGACTGTTTCAGACTTAAATATTGCTACTGGTGTAGTTTAATCAAGATAACTCTGAAATAAAACTATGAAAATATGTTTGCTAATATTTTATTCAGGGGCTGAAGCAGGGACTTGTCTTGCCTGCACCACAATATTTGCACACTTAAGCATTACTCTATGGATAACAGTCATTTTCATCTTCATATAACATGCTATAAAATAAAAATGAGAAGCAAAAGATAAACAGTTGCACCTTCAATAAGTAAAAGTAACTAACGACAGTTTTAGTATAAAATCATAACTTCGATACTAGATGTATATTATTCACAAATTTATGATTTAAAAAGATATTTGTTCAAATATTAATATAATATACTTCGTTCCTCTTTTAAAAACAGTGCAGTAAATGTGTAACTTGAATGTGCTGACCATAATTGCACTTCGGATGGCGGTGCCACCATTACACGTGCAAAAGCGGCTCAGCAAGGATGTGGTAAGTATACTAAATCGTATTCATCCTTTGTTATACATTTAAATGTTACTATAAATAGGTTTCCCATTTGTGTGTCTTATGAATGCGAAACTTGCATTTTACGTACTAAATCAAACATACTTTTGATGAGGTGTTTCTTCATTTTAATTATCATTATAACAGGCAAAATAGACGACCCTGCTTTAACAAATATAATGTTCTCTGAAGGAAGCTCACAGTCTTATGCAATCTAGCTCCCACTGGAATTCAAACTATTGGAATAAGTAAGAATCAAATAAAACTGTCGAAGTGAATTAAACAGCGTCAACTGTACCAAGACAGGAATGTGAAAGTTGTTTTCCATTCCTTTGATGTGTTTGAGCTTTTGATTTTCCCATTTAATGAGGGACTTTCCGTTTTGAATTTTACTCGGAGTTTGGTATTTTGTTATTTTACTTTTTTCGGACAAAAACACACAAAGGCCTAGAAAAGTATAAGCAACAACCGGGTTCAATAAACATAAACAGAACCGAGTTTAATAAGACCTACGTTAAATCAGCACCCCTTTTAGTTGAAGAAAAAATCGGAAAATTTTGAAAATTATCAAAAGTCCAAACAAATTTTGCTTGTATTGACATGTCGTCTATCTTTTTGCAAATTAAGTAAATTAAAAGTAAAAAATCAGTTTCTGTTTATTCAGTCTACCAAATAAAAAATCCTGATTCATT